GCGGAGGAGCGAACATGTGAAGTAGCAATGGTGTTCGCCTGAATGTGTTCTCGAACGAAATGGCAGTCTAGTTCAATGTGTTTCGTTCGCTCATGAAAAACGGGGTTAGCAGCAATATGAAGAGCTACTGTATTATCACAAAATAACCGCATGGGTGTTGAATGATTTACACCAAGAGACGCAAGGAATCCCTTTAACCAAATTAACTCTGTTGTAGCAGCTGCCATAGCTATATATTCAGCTTCAGCAGAAGAACGTGCAACTGTGACCTGCTTCTTTGTTCTCCATGAAATAGGTGATGTGCCCAACATAACAAAATAACCAGTAACAGATCGTCTTGTAAGAGGACAAGAGGCCCAATTGGAATCACAATAGGCATGAATGCGGAGATCACATGCGCTTTTTAATAGAAGTCCTTGACCAGGATTTTGTTTCACATACCTTAACACTCGTAGGATCGCATCGTAATGACCTTGTTTTGGATGCTGCATAAATTGAGAAAGGACATGTATAGCATAACTCAAATCTAGTCTTGTAATATTTAAATAAATCAATTTTCCAATCAGTCTCCTATATCTCTCAGGATTTTCGATATCTGGGCCATTAGCAAGAGCAAGTCTATGATTTTGTTCAATAGGAGATACAACTGGTTTGCTTCCACTAAGACCTGCTTCATGTAAAATATCAAGAGCATATTTCCGTTGACACAAAAATATCCCTTCTTTGTTACGGGCTATCTCAATTCCAAGAAAATATTTTAGCTTGCATAAGTCCTTGGTTTTAAAACACTTGTTTAAATATTTCTTGACTTGATTACATGCTTGAGTATTATTTCCTGCCAACACTATATCATCAACATAAACCAGAAGAGCAAGAAAAATATCACCTCTTTGGAATGTGAACAAGGTATAATCTGCATGTGATTGTTGAAACCCGTATTTTATAAGTGATGAGCTCAATTTGTTAAACCAGTTTCTTGGAGATTGTCTCAATCCGTAGAGAGATTTTTTCAAACGACAGACTTGATCTTTTGTTCCATTGCTAAATCCTGGAGGGAACTTAATATACACCTCTTCATTAAGCTCTCCATTTAGGAACGCATTATGCACATCCAGTTGATGCAATTCCCTCTGCTTGGCTGCTGCAATAGCCAAAAGAGTCCTAACACTAGTCATTTTTGCAACGGGCGCATATGTCTCACCAAAGTCTTCGCCTTCTATCTGATGGTTACCTGCAATAACTAACCGTGCCTTACATCTTTCCACGGTTCCATCAGAATGATATTTTATTTTGAAAACCCATTTGCTAGGTAATGCTCGTCGATTAGAAGGCAAAACCGTGACTGTCCATGTTCCATTATCTTCTAGTGCATTAATTTATTTTCTCATAGCTTCTACCTATTGTGGATTTTGCATGGCTTCTTTAAAATGACGAGACTCACATCCTGCATCAAGAGCTGCTACAAATGCACAATGGGATGGAGAAAATTTAGATAAACTAAGAAAATTACATAATGGATATTTAATACCTGACCTTGCATTTGAAGAGTGACTGATTTGGGTAGCAGGAAGAGATTTATGTGTTTCGATAGCATTGCATTCATAATCTTGAAGATATGCCGGAGTTTTCCTTGATCGTTGGTTTCGGCTTGCTACTGGTTGCGGTTCTGCTACTGTTGGTGGCAATACAAGCACCTGATCGTTGCTCCCCCCTGTCAACTATATCGGATTCAGAAGTTGCTAGACAATCACCGTCGCCTGCCTGCTCGCGAATTGCACCAGTTTGACCAACGTTATGGTTTGGAAGTGCGGCATGTCCAGTGTCATTTGTATGTGCCTGAAGTGCACCAGTATTATCGGCGTCTGCATGCGTCCGAAGTATACCATTGTGATCAGCGTCGTCTGCCTGATAATCAACCAGCATGTTTTGTGTCTCATGGGAAGGAGGGATTGCAGATGAAAACTCAGGTTGATGCGATGATAAGGAAGCTAAAGGAAAAATTTCTTCATAGAATTTCACATCCCTGCATACAAAAAATTCTCTATTTTCCAGATCATATAATTTCCACCCCTTTTGAGTAACCGGATATCCTATAAACATGCACTTGCGAGAGCGAGAAGCAAATTTATCCGTAGGTTTTGGTCTAACATTAGCATAACACAAACATCCAAAAATCTTCAAGTGTTCATAATTTGGAGCCTCCCCATATAAAACTTCGTGAGGTGTATTACCAGATAAAATTTTGGATGGTGTTCTATTAATTAAATGGACTCCTGCAAGCACACTTTCTTCCCAAAAATCGACGGGTAAACAAGCTTGAAATAATAATGCCCGAGATACATTTAAAATATGTCTATGCTTTCGCTCTACTCGTTCATTCTATTCTGGTGTATAAACACACGATGTTTGATGAATTGTCTCATTATCATGATATAACTGCAGCAATTTATTTGATTTAAATTCGGACCCGTTATCAGAACGCAATATTTTTATCCTTTTTCCAAATTGAGTTCTGATCATAGCAAAAAAAATTTGAATACGATCGCATGTTTCCTTCTTTTCGGCTAACATATATACCCAAACAAATCGACTGAAATCATCATCAATCGTTAAAAAATAATGTGCACCTGAAGAAGAAGAAGAGCGATAGGGCCCCGATGTATCACAGTGAATTAAATCAAAACATTCTTTACTGCGATTATTACTTGAATGAAACATAGTCCTAGTGTGCTTGGCACGACAACAAAAGGTACATGTCATTTTAGTTGCTGCAATTTTAGCTGACATATGGGAAAACAACGGAAGCAAAGACACAACTACATAGGATGAATGACCCGACCGCTTGTGCCACAACTCTGCAGACTCCTGAATTCTCACAGTAGAAACTGAAGCATGCTTTGGTTGAAACACATAAACTCCTGCATGAACATCACCCAATCCAGTCTGCCTCATTAATGCTTGGTCCTGTAAAATACATTGTCCATTAGTAAATATTAGTTTATTATCACTCTACTGCAATAACTGAGAAACTGAAATCAAATTGCACCGCAAATGAGGAACAAATAAAACGTTAGACAATGTGAACTCATCATTAAACACCATTGTCCCTTGTTGTTCGGCATGAGTAAGTGCACCATTAGGTAACCCCACTTCTAGGGGTTTGATTTTTGTAACATTAGTCAGTAATTCCAAAGAACCTGTCATGTGCTGCGAGGCACCACTGTCAATAAGCCATTGTGTCTGAATGGCCTTACCAGATAATTTGTCAGTAGCCTTATGAGAGTGATCCACCAGCCTTAGGGAGGGGTGTACCCGGGTAGGTAAAAAATTTCAAAATATACCCAGGTAGGTAGAGGTGTACCCGGGTAAGCTTCATGGTCAACGGTAAATAGGGACAGATTGATGTTATGTTTTCTGGAGAGGTTAAATTTTTGAATAGTTTATAAAGAGGGTCAATTTAGTAATTAATTATTAAAAAAAGGTTATAGTGGTCAAAAAACCTATATTCTTCCAACTCAAACACAGTCTGCACAGTAATTAAAACAAAATTAATATCAAATGGCTGTAGTTGGTTTATAAAGCCAAAAAGTAATATAAGCATATACTTTTTTTAAGGTTCGTTTTATTTTAATTATAAGTAGAGTACATACTAATGTCTATAAACTTTTTTGGATGGGTAAAATTTTACGAAGAATTAACAAGAAAAAAAAAATGTGCAAAAATTGTGTGAATTCAAGAGATTTTTATAAGCATTTCTAAAGGACATCGAAATTGCCATTGTAAATTTGGGTCCTTTTATGTAACATCTAATTCTACATAATTCAGTGCAATTATCATAGCGTTTTGGATAAAATCTCTTCACCATTGCTATAGAAACATTAGTAGTAGTAGTTCTTCTCACCAGGAGTGTTAACGGGCCGAGCCAAGCTTTGGTCTTAAAAGGCTAAGTCTGTATTTAAATGTGTCAGCCTGACCAAACCTGTTACCTGTTATAGATATAATTACCGGCATATGGCCTGACTTATTTATAAAAAATAAAAGTCTGGTTTAGCCTATTCAAAAAAAATAAGACAACCAAAATTTATCCAAACAGAATATGCAATCAACGACACTAGTAATTTCATAAATATTCATAAATTCAATATATATCCAAACAGTATAATATAGAACAAAATCAATCAAAAAGTTTGTTTAACCAATAAAATAGAGTGAAATGGATTGAGGAGAAAGAGAGAATCATTACTAGTATAAAAAATATAAAATAAAAAATATATATAACAGGTCAGCCTGAGAGGCTCTAAGGCCGAGCTTTTGAATTGAAGCCTGAGGCCTTTTTATTAAACAAACTTTTATACAAGTTCAAACCTGGTGCCAACAACCAATTTTAGACATGTAAACTCAGGCCTTCACGAGCCGAGCCAAAGGCCCTTGGTTCATTTAGCACCCCTACTTCTCACATATTGCCTAGTAAACTACTAAAGATCACCTAAAATACATATGATTATTATACTAAAAAAAATACATACGATTATTATGAAGAGAAAATGATTCTTCAATGGAATCATTTTAAAAGTCTACCAACCTGCAACAAGAAAACAAGTTACTTTTACAATTTGGGCGTTGGACCTCCTTTTTGCAGATTAGAAAAGCAAATATATTTGTAGAAAACAGAAAGAAAGAAAAAATTGATCATTATATATTTCTTTGTCCCAAGACAGCTTGAAGGTGGGAAAGAAACTATTGACTTAAAATCCCCTTCACCTTCTGTATTGCTTAGCTCCAATTCTCATGAATTCACCAAGATGCTTAACTAATGACACTATGCTGTTACTGTTACACCGGCAAACACCACTAGGAAAAACTCCATAAGCCATTTAAACAAAGAGTTGATGGCTCAATAAGATGAACAAGCACATGCAATGTTGTTCGATGGCAGTATGAAAATTTCAATGTAACTAAATATAACTTGGTTTGAACAACTGAAAATTGGATTTGCATTGGCTGGTCTATAACATTACACATCCATATATGAAAAATCAGAAACGAATTATTTTTATTCTGCAGTTATCATACAAGTTTGATGCAAGTCAGCTAATTGACAAAACAAGAAATTCATGTACAATAACAAAGAGAAGCTTATTCAACTATGCAGGAACGACCTGAGGCTCTAAAGGTGAAGACCCCCCACCCTGTTCAGGTCCATCGATGGTGCTCTCTACGATTTTTTCATCTTCCTCTTCAAATCCTTGCTTAAATCTATCATAATTGGTAGGTTCACTAGACTGGAATGGCCGCTTACCCAAAACTCGAAGCAAGTCATCCTGGTGAAGTACTTCTTTTTCAAGAAGCAACTCAGCAATTTGAGCCACTTGCTCCTTGTGTTCCTCGATGAGGCTTATGGTACGTTCATATGCTTTGTTCACCCATTCTCTCACTTCAGTATCAATGATTGCAGCAGTTTTACTGCTGTACGGTTTGGACATCTGAAAAGAGTCCTCTGTTGGAGGGAAAGAGAGGAGGCCCACTTTTTCACTAAAACCATAGATTGCTACTTGGGCATACGTCATTTTGGTCACTTTTTCCAAGTCGTTTTGTGCTCCCGTTGAGATTCTACCTATGAGAACCTGCAGTAACAAGGGAGGGAAACCATCATTCTCATGGCTTTGTTGAAGGTTAGGAAGCATCAAGCTTCAGATAAGAGAAAATAATTCAACAATAACATAAAGCAGTAATAATATTTGCAATTGAAAAATATAAGTTATGCACTAAAACATGTTAAATTCTTCCCATACAAAGATGAGCATTGGTCGTACAGAAAAGAATCGCAGGAGAGAAAAAGGTAATTAAAAAAAAGAAGAAATAATAGAACAACCTGCTCAGCAGCCCGACCACCAAGCGTCATACAAGTCATATCAAAAAGCTGCTCCTTTGTCATGAGAAGGTTCTCATTTGGAACATATTGGGCAAACCCAAGAGCTGCTGTGCCACGAGGAACAATAGTTACTTTCAACAAGGGCTCAGCATGTTCCAAGAACCAACCTGCAACAGCATGGCCTGATTCATGGTAAGCAACAGTACGCCTTTCCAGCTTGCTTATTACCTGGTAAAGAAACATAGGTATTAGAGAAAATCTAAAACCAGTAACGCATAAAGTGGAGAGAGAGTTCTAAATTTCAGTTAGTTCAACATTTTCAATTCAATGTAGCATATAATTTTCATCATCATGAGGTCTTGACTTACAACAACAGCCTAAGATAACCTATCTCTGCATACCAGATACAGAAAGACTAGAAGATCCAAAGTATAATGCACAGCTCTCTCAGACATAAAAATGAAAGACAGATAGATGAAAAGCTTCAGCTTACAATAATATTGCTCATTGTTCATTATCCACCTTTCTTGTCTCAAGTTCTAGAAATGCTACTTTATTGGCATGTTTATTACATAAATTAATAAAAGATACAGGATTATATACATAATTGGTTAATTACATATAAATAAGAAAATTATTTTACATAACCCCACAATCTTCCTCCACTTTCCTGTTATATATCCACGAGAACTTACGAGTTAAAAGAAAAGGCAAACATTATCATTTCCTAGTTCAAATTTATCAAGTATTATTCGTCATTAATTTATTAAAGCAATCAAACTATATTTTATGTTAAAACTTTGATTTGCTCCCACAAGAATAAAAGGTAAGAAATTCAAGAAAAAGGAAGAAAGCTATAACTGTGCATATGATATGCAGAATTTTTATAAAATAAAACCTCCCCCCCTTTCCCAAACCTTCCTAATAGTAATATAAAACCTTAAAAAGACCTACCTTGTTCTTCTTCTCCAAACCACCAATGATCCTATCAATAGCTGCCTCAAAATGGTCCATTGTGACCAGTGTTCCGTCATTTCTTGCAGCAATCAGAGCAGCTTCATTGCAAACATTAGCAATGTCTGCTCCAGCAAATCCAGGTGTAAGGGCTGCAAGCCTTTGTGAATAATATGATGGTTCATGGTCAAGTTTGATCTTTTTCAAATAGATCTGAAATATCTGATCACGACCTTTAATATCAGGCTTATCAATTGATATCTGGCGGTCAAATCGCCCAGGCCTAAGCAGAGCTTTGTCCAAGATATCAGGTCTATTTGTTCCTGCCAGCACAACAACTCCAGCAGTAGTTCCAAAACCATCCATCTCAACCAACAATTGATTTAAAGTACTTTCACGCTCATCATTAGCACCAGAGAAGCCTCCACGTCCCCTTGCTCGACCAATTGCATCAATCTCATCAATAAATACTATACTGGGAGCACACTGCCTTGCTTCCTGAAACAAGTTTCTCACCCTAGATGGTCCAACACCAACAAACATTTCCATGAAATCAGAACCGGATATAGAAAGGAATGGCACACCAGATTCCCCTGCAGTTGCTTTTGCTAAAAGGGTTTTTCCTGTTCCCGGAGGACCCACCAGAAGAGCACCTTTAGGAATTTTTGCACCAAGTTCTTCGTATTTCTTAGGGTTCTTGAGGAAGTGGACAAACTCCATAATTTCTTGCTTTGCCTCATCACAGCCAGCAACGTCTTTAAAATAGACCTGAACAATATGAATAGAAGTAAAAAAAAATTATAGTCTATTAAATGAAATAATTGCTAAGTAATTCACCATCACTCCTCCCTCAAAGAAATTACAAATATGGGCAAGGCAATGATGGATACTGAGGAACAAGCTGTTAAAAAGTGAAAGCAAAAAACAAAGGTCATCTTATTTATAGCAGAAAAAGCTACAAACCTTGTTTTTGGCATTTTTGTCAACTTTAGTAACATGGGCTTTTCCTATGTTGAATATTCCACGAGCACCCTTCCCACCGCCGCCGCCGCCGCCAACACCAAGTCCACCTTGCATTCTCCTTCCCACATACAAGAGAGATCCCAAAAGTAACAGGGTTGGAGCAAATCTCATCAATTCCTGGTACCAAACCATTTCAGAAGAATATGTAACAGGAACATAATCATGAGGGTCAATGCCTAGTGCATCTTGCGCTTCCTCTAACTTCTCCTCAAAAGACTCAACACTTCCAATATTGAAATAATATTTATATTGGGCACCAGGTCCCTTTGCAGGGAGGGTCCCTTGGACAACTTCACTGTCTGTTTGGTTACGTGGAGAGCTCCTTACAAATATTTTGGCTACTGATTTATTTGAAACAACAATATGGTCGACTAGACCTGGTTCCAAAAGCTTATTTTTGAACTCCTGAAAGCTTATCTGCAAAGAATCAAATTGTAGTCCACATTAGCAAGGTGATAATAATGAAATAAAAGAAACTACAAAAACCAGACACAAATGAACAGGGATCTCGTTGCCAAAAGGCACATGGTTGGATTCACATCTAAATTATCATGCTCTTCCACAGGAGAAAATAAGCTCCATAAAAATATCAAGCATTGTTCAAAAGTCAAGCTAGTTTGAGACTTGGGTATATAAAAGCATCAGGAATACATCCTAATAGCACTCTTGATCAATGGAGCTTCAATCTAAGTAGTCAATGGAAGTAGTACAGAGCTCATCTCACAGTTATACCCTCATTTTCAGCCACAAAATCAAAGTCAACAGTAACATTAGCCAAAGAAAAACTTACTGAGTAACACGAGTTAAAAATTTATCAATTAATGATGCTTCATATAAAAGATCTTGAAAAGTGGTAAGGTTCAAAAAGGAAGGAAAAAAACGATTCCAATCATACAAACATGCATGCACATAGGGCAAGGCAGAAGAAAAAAAGTCATAGAGAGCTACCAACGATGTATTAGAGGCAGCAAATATGGTAGTATAGTTCACAATACAAAACTCAAACCTAATTCTTCGTAATACTTTTCTATTTCAATTTTTCATCCACTCATCTAAAGAATTAAGACAATAGTGGCATAATGTGTCAAGCAGTAAAAAGTCCATTTCTCCTCCATTTGAAACCATTCCACTCATCTGACAGTTGCAGATATTCATATATTTTAAGTTCTCAATTCAACCACATCACCCACAAAAACAAGTTAAAACCACAAATGACTGTGGTAAAACTTGTGAAGTTATGCTTACCTGCTTTTGCTCGCGAGGACCAAAAGAAAAAGATGAGAGAAATAGCCCCACCACCAATAATGGCGTGATTAGATTTTGAAAATGCTTCATGAAAGTCTCTTGAAAATTTCCGTGATCATCTGTATTTGTGTTCGAGCCATCTGAAATCAAAAGGAGAATTCAAGTGTTAAAAGTTGTTGTCCATACTCCTTTATTGCAAGAAAAACTAGAAAGCAGATGCATGATTAATTCCTACAGCCACACACACGGTATGAGAGAGAGAGAATACAAATAAATCTAAGGGTGTTCAAATGAAAGTATGAACCCAACTGAACTTATAAACTAAACCCAACCAAACCATTTGAAGCCTGTTTCCAATGCTTTTATTTATTTATTTTTGCCCAAAACAGATCAGATTACTACTAAACATATAAAGTTCTGTGCACAAAAACTAACTGAATGAAACCAAAATTTACAAATCCTTGGGATTTAAGGTGAGGAAGGGAAGCAGAGTGGCAAATCCATGGAGGGAAATTCCAATGAAATATTCAGCCGGTTGATTTAAGGTGTTAGACATGGTGATTTTGCAACAAAGGAAAGGTCTCGTGTTGGTTTGATGGTTGCGATTGAACAGAGGGTAAAGAAAGCAACTTGAGATTGCTTTGTATAATCATTTCATCATCTCATTAATAACCAGTTAGCCGAACCAAATAAATGTTTACGTTGGTTCAGATTTGTTTCTTCAAATGGTTACAATTTGGATTTAAGCCTATAACTGAACCAAGCCATATTTCAGTTTATTGAAGTTCGGTTCAGATTTTGAACCAAGCCAAATTATGCTAACCACTAACTCATTGCAGCCAAACAGATTTAAGAGAGAGAGAGCATTTTTTTGGGATTGAATATATGTTTCAAAACCCAAAATCACCCATCTACAGTAAAATTGTACTTGAAGTTTGAACCAACACAAATTAGAACCCTGGCCCAGGGCAAGAAGAATCCTACACTATTATCCACCTTCCCATCGTAAAGGAAGTTCACATAATAAATGCAATCTAAAAAATGCTCAACTCTGAAATAGTCTAGACTAACAAAAGGCAAGTATTATCCACCTTCCCATTGTAAAGGAAGTTCACATAATAAATGCAATCTAAAAAATGCTCAACTCTGAAATAGTCTAGACTAACAAAAGGCAAGTAAACCAACTCCACTCCTTTCTGCCTCCTCAAGTTATAAAATAACAGAAAACTACATATAATTTAATAAGGATGACAAAATGCTCCCTCACTCACGCGCGCACACGCGCCGGCGTCGCACTAGTTAATCAACTATTATCCACAAGGACCCCAACACATGAATAACATGACCATCCATATTACTCATTACATCAGTTATGACCATCATTTTCAAACAATTTGCGATTACAGTTTTTCCTCATTCACAAGAAAATAAGGTACACAAAAGATTTCATTTTTACCTTTAGACTCATTATTTTTATCGTTTCCCTTGGGAACTTCCTTCTTTTCCTTGGGATAAAAGTTCTCATAATCTGCCAAAACCGAGAAATAAAAATCAGAACACTAACCGAAGCACAGCACAGTAATCCAGAAGCAATGAGGAGGAGCAGTTGCTAAAAGCAATAGAAGCAGTTTCAATTTCATTATGCTAAGCACGGCCAACAAAACCTTAACTTACTCTTCTTCTTTGGGGCTTCGCTGGAAAACAGACGGTGAAGCAGCCTAGGGTTTGCAGCAACAGTTTTAAAATCAGGCAAATTGGAAACGAGACTATTACTGCGCGCTGTGGTAGAAGCTACGTAACCCCTGAAAAACCCTAATCCCCCTTCCGCTCCTTCGGAATAAGGATTCGTTCGTGGCACTCCGAAAAGGGTTCCCAATCTCCCATCACCGTGCAACAAATTCTACAACCCCAATAAAAAGCATCATCAAAGTTAGCATCTTATTGGTTTGTTTAGCAAATGAATCGATTCAATTGAGAGAAACGAAAGCTTACTCTAGAGCTAGAAGAGCGCAACAGGGAGCGCCCAATCCTTGAAAAATTCATCCTTCGGAGAAACAAAGGATATGGGAAACAATGTTATCAAAGTTGAACTATAAATCTTAATCAAAATGAAAATGAAAAAAATAAAAACAGTGAATCGGATAGATCTAGAGGTGACAATATGGGAAAACAACGTTTATCAACTATAGTTCTAGGTAGCCGGTTAACAGATAAAAAGAACAGAAGAAGATAACATCCGTTAGAGACGCGGTGGTTTAAAGCTGTGTTTGGTTTGAGGGTATACTTGGCCTTTCTCTTTATAGCACAATAGTTATAAGGTCAACAAAGGGGCACGTTAGCTTAATTCTCTTAAAATTGTCTTGGCAAACAAGGTAACGCGCCCATAGATTCTTCCTCTAATAAAAAAAGAGAAATATTCATATGCATAAATAATCTATGGGGCAGGATCTTTTGACACCAGTGTCAAACTTTAAGTTTGACACCACATCTGGACCCTTGATTTTAATAACATCTGACGGCTTTTAATATTCCCTGTCTAAATGTCACGTGACTCCTCTTTCTTTCTTTTTTCTTTTTTTCTTCTTCTTTTCTCTTCCCCCTCATCTGTTGCGCACCCTCTGCTCTTTCTTTCTCAACTTTTTTTTCTCTTTCATTTTCTCCCTCATCTGTTTACACTCTCACCATTGTTAGCTTTTGTGTGCAATTACCCTTTTACATGGTTTTCTTCACTTCTTTTTCTTATAATCTTCGTAATCCTTTTTTCTCTTGTTCGTAGCTCGATTCAAAGGTTGTCCTTAAAAGGGCTCGATTCAAAAAAGGCGAAGAAGTGAGACGAAAAAGAAGAATAAGAAGAAGAAAAAGGGTTACCCTTAAATCACAATAATATTGTTTATTTTGTTCATACAAAAACTGGGTCTTCGACTTTCGTAAAGGCTGATTAAAAATTGGGTTTCCCTTTTTTTGTTTCGTGTAACCCATGACAAAAAAATTACCTTTAAAAACTGGGTTGCCTACATGTATTGTTTTATATTTGAGGAAAGCTTTGAATGAAGCAAGAGCTTGGTTGTTCTGGATTGGAGTTATAAACTTACCTTTTTTCCTTCAATTTTTGTTATTGTTGTTTTGATGATTCTAAGAAAAGTCGAACCACAGCTAGGTAAGAGTCTCTCTGAACTGAGACCATTTGCTACTGCATTGGATGAAAAGCAGAATAGGTGTGAAGAGTTTGCTTGTAATATTATACATCAAACTGGTTCTACCAGTTGTTAACCTCGATGGCTAATATTTTTGGTTCAACCATTTGCATTGTCTTTTAGCATTGCAGCTCTAGAGTATTTGAAACAATTGCAAAATTAAAAAATTAATTGATACAAACAAAACCCACGTGATTATGTACTCTTTGCATTTCTCATTCTTTTTTATCCATTTCTTTTGATTTGGTTTCTCTTTGCAACTCTATTAAACAAACATCACGACAACAAGGAATAATTTACATTAACATTAAACTTGACATTTGGACAGTGCAAAAATTCTCACATTTAGATATACCCATATACTCTAATTATTATATCCTTTGAAGCTTGTAACATGTGAATGGCTGCTGATATGCGATATGCAGCGTGCAGTTCATTGGATTTTAGGCCAAGTTCTTCGAACTGACCAGTTCAAACACATTTGAATTCAAGATCATTGTACAATTAAAATCAACAATAACCATTCAAAAAAGCGACAATCCTAAATTACAAAAGTTAAAAAATAAAACATTGATACAACCCAAAAATTACAAGACTTCTCCAAAAACATAATCCACCCAAAAAGATTGCAAAGTTCATAAAGGAGGATGGTACATTTCTGCAGAGTCAAAGATTTTTATGCCAACTAAAAGCTTCATGAAGAAGGCAAAGTGACTCTGGCAAATTGTTCTGCTACCCAAAAGTCATGGTTCCTGTGAGAATTCAAGTGTGAGCTGAATTCAAAAAAAGAGAAGAAATTGTTTGAATGGTGATTGAGGTCACACCTAAGTAGAGCTTTGAAACAGTGAGATTAGGAGCAGACTTGAAGAGAGGAACTGATGTCATAAGCTTTTAACTACACACAAAATCACAAGGTAACATAAGTTTAAAAAATGATAAATGTTATTGGCAAGTGTAGATTTTACATCAAGTTCAATTGTGAAAAATTTAAATGAAATTGGCAATATAATCCAATAACTTATATGCCTCACAGTCATGCAGCTTTAGAATAAAATTCAATCTTGATTGAGGATATTACACAAATATGAAATACCAATTATGCACAAAAAGAGTTTAGTAGAGAAGTCAAAAACTAAAAGGTACATACAAAGAGAAATCTTGGGTAACCTGTTTGAACTGAAGACTTGAATGTTGGAATCCAAATGCAAATAAATAAAATAAATAAATAAATCAGAAATAGGCAGAGAAACCAAATGAAAATATATAAATATAATAATGAAGGATTTAAATACCAACACTAACATTAAAAAAATATTCTTACATTAGGTTGTCTTTTGTTTTTTGCAAGTTGATTGATAGTGACCATATTCTCCACAGGATTTACATGCTCTCCTTTTAATCAATGACTTATGTATTGATAATTCAAGACCACCTTTGTACCTTCCTGTTAAAGCCTGTTTGTCAGAATCCTTCCTTTTTCTACCTTTTGTTTGTGATATGTATGGATCCTTGATATTGAAATTTGAATCATCATATGCTATGTCACATATCAAATTTTGCTGACTAGACTCTATAGGAGCTTCATTGACATCAAGCATTTTTGTCTTCATAGTGCTGGCCACGTCATAAATACGATCAAGTTCTGTCACAATATACTTGTACGCATATTCTGATCTTTTAGCCAAATCAGAAAGTCTGCTAAATTGACGTTGCACATGCAAACTTCTCAAAATGTCTGAATCATGATTTGAGATATCAATATCGTCTGCCTCAATGCATTTATTGGCTTCTTTAGTCCAACGTTGCATGATATAGTGGCTAGGAATTTGAATAATATTTTTTGCTTGAAAGATTACCAATATGTGTCTACATATGATTCCCATAAATTCAAAAAGTTGACAGCCACATGAAGCATCCTTTGACTCTAAATTTATATCAACAATGAAGTTATCCCGAGTATCGAAACAATTAGAAATTTGATACTTACATTGTGAACCATTTTTCTCAATCTTCTCCTTTATAAAATGGTTGACTCTAATAAGCTCATTCTGAAACTTACGAAACACATTTCTGGTATAGATTGACGCAGCGTGCTCTTCAATTTTTGAGCCAATACCCAAACTGCGTGATTTATGTCTGGACTCAAAGTCCTCTCTTTTTTCAGCCTCATAGCGGTTGTTGATTGCCTTCTCAAATTTTACTACAAAGTCTCGCAGTGTTGTGGTTGCATTAACAAAGGAGTCAAAAAAAGAATTGATGCTCTCACTTCTTTGCGTAGTATTCATACCGACAAAAAATATGCTTCTATTATATACCGGTATCCACGACTCTCTAATTTCAAATAATCTTTGAACCATACATTTTTCTGCAAATCGTATGTAACCATTATATTTTTCCATTCATTTTCAAATTCTTTGATGGTTGGTGATTCTCGAATACACCTTTTCAGCTCACGCTTGAATGTAGAATTCTTGTGATATATGTGTGCAAGCTTTTCAGGAAACTTCTTTCTAATGTGCCACAAGCACAAACGATGACGAGTTTCTGGAAATACCTTGGCCACAGCAGCTCCAATAGCTAAATCTTGATCAGTTATTATAGAAACTGGCTTTTTTCCATTCATTGCCTCAAGCCAAGTTTCAAATAACCATGTAAAAGATTTCTCGGTTTCATCTTGTAATAAGGCACAACCAAATAAAATTGATTGAAGATGATGGTTTAATCCAGTAAATGGGGCAAACAGCATGCTATATTTGTTGGTTCTATATGTGGTATCAAAAGTAATTACATCTCCAAACTGTTGATAAGCGTACCTTGATCTAGCATCCACCCAAAAGAAGTTTATCATTCTATCATCAGCATCACATTGTATTGAATAGAAAAAATCAGAATTTTGAGCTTGCTTTTGTTTGCAGTAATTAAAAACAGCTAATGCATCTCCAACATCCAAATTCTTCCTTCGAAGATTTCTCAATTGATTCCAACAATCCCGATTAGAAAAAGCTAAATCGCTGCCATTAAACATTGCAGCAACCTTTCCGGTAGGCAAACCTTCTTCATTAAACTGTTCAACAAGTCTTCTTGCAGCACCATTCATTTTTTTATGACACCTCAAATAAGACACACTCTTAGGACTAGCCATGATATGATTATGATTGTTGTCAAAAGATTTGATAACCCATATGTCTCGATTCTTTTCCTTTGTCACAGAAAGTGATGCTTTACATCCCGAGCGAATAGTTGAAGACTTTTTCTTAGCATCTCCCATGTTACAGCCTTTCTTGCTATTTTCACCGTGCTTACAACATACAAAAAGTCCGTAATTTTTTTTACTAGAGCGAATACGGATCCCAAACCCCTTTGCTTTAGCAAATAATGTATAAAAATGTTCAACTCTTTTAAATGATTCAAATTCCATTCCAACATAAGGTTCAACAATAACTGCATCAACATTAGAAGATTGTGGCATATCAACTGGTAGGATAGAATCTGTTACCAATATTTTGTCCGAAGTGATATTAGGCTCCACATTCATATAGAAAATATTGGAATCGGAGTCCAAAAGTGGATCTTTCATCCCCTGTCAAGAGATATAGAAATAAAACTGATTATGAACAGTTAAGAATAAAACCTCATAATCAGTTATAATATAAAATGAACTAGATATTCAGGTATTTATTTTCTTACTAGAATTTAATATAAAATTTATGCATATTAGTTTCTAGTTTACAATGAAATATAATTTTTTTTTATTTTTACTTTACGAATGAACTAGAAAATTCAGGTAAATGTAAAGGATAAAGAATGTATTTTAACAAAAATTAAATATACCGATCTTTAATACAAAAAAGAAATGGTGTGACAACTAAAATTTGTTTACTTAACAACTAATTAGAAAGTGATATGCAAAAAATACAGCCATGAAGTAAAAAAGTTGAACAAAAACACTTTTGAAATTATATCTGTAGAAAAGCATTTGTCAAACAATATTAAGGTAGAGAGAAAAATTTATCTGTTCATTTGCATTACGTTTATAGCATGCCTCCGAACATCTTACTATATTTCCCAAAACTACCCATGTATATTAAAAAGGTGAGTAGTTGACCCACCGCCTGTCCCCAATATCTTCTTGACTTACATGTACTAGTTCAATAGAAAAAATTTCAGAGTACTACCAATGTATTAATTGTATCACTTCGTATATCTATAAAAAATAATAATGAAAAAACCTATTTCCATACTTTGTGATTGCTCTCCATTTTTTATAGACTACAGGACATTATGTATTCGGGAGAAAGCACTAGATTAAGTCTTATTTTTCACTCACCCCAAGATATACAGAACATAGCATGCAAGCTACATTTTTTTTTTTGTAAAATTAAATAAAACCACGGTACCTGTGTATCGACCATGCAAGGTGAAAGTCCATCGAGTTCCTGCCCTCCCCAGTCTTCTAATACTGAAACTACCTCCTTGTCTTCTGCAGCTGAGCACATGATAAGATTTCTATTTTGGGTTCAGTAAGAAAGGAGAAACGAGGGTAACTATGGAGAAGTGGGGCTCCAAGAAGGTTCAGCTGAAGAAATAATTGCTCACAAAAGCTTGAAACTTGGAAGGCAAACGCTGGTGAAGTGTAAGGAAGATCAAAAGGTTTGTAAAGAGAAAGAAAGAGCAGAGGGTGCGCAACAGATGAGGGGGAAGAGAAAAGAAGAAAAAAAAAAGAAAAAAGAAAGAAAGAGGAGTCACGTGACATTTAGACAGGGAATATTAAGAGCCGTCAGATGTTATTAAAATTAAGGGTCCAGATGTGGTGTCAAACTTGAAGTTTGACACTGGTGTCAAAAGATCCTGCCCCATAATCTATAATAAGAATAATAATAACAAGGGCAACACTATCTTCTCTAATCAATTTAAAGGTGGAACTTTCTAGGTTTTTTTTATAAAAAAAAAAAGTAATATTAAAATTATTTTTAAAAATTTTTATTTTTAATAAATTATTTGATGATTATAAAATTTCAGACACTTTTTAATTAATGAATATTTTTTCCTTCAATATTTGTCAGGTTAGGCATACGTCACTAAAACAAGAGATGGTTGCGTTAGCATAAAACACTTGAAAAGATTCCTACAGTCAATTTTAAGTGAATGGGGTGGAATACAAAATTTATAGAAGGTGCTTGTACGAGGGCTTTGGTATTTGTATTTATGAGAATTATGAGTCCATCGGATGATATGCAAATATACGCATATGGTAATTGTATTATTTTTTTATATCAACTCTAATTATTCTTTTGAGGTGAATTGGTTTTTTTCGGTATTCTCGTAAGCGAAATGTATTTAATGAAAATCGGACTCAAGTTCTCTCTCCACTTTACTTAACATGTGTGGTCAACTAAGCTATATCTATTATATAATTGAAGTTAGTTACCGAAGTATTAGGTAAGGAAAAATCGTAGCTTAAGTGACAATATGAGTTTCAAGATGGATAAACTGTTAAAATAACAAGAATTTGAATATTTCATCGAACTTTTAAAATTAAAGTTGGATAATTATTCAATGTTCAATTCGGGATTAGTCTATACTCATAACGGTCTTTTAATTTGCTCTGGATCGTAAGAATATTATGAGAACTTGACTCATCTCAAAAAGATAATTATGATTATGAAATCCAAAAAAAATATTAAATAGCAAAAATAAATGAGTCATAGCTGAAATTAAATTCATGAAAGAAAAATTATATATATTCTTGGAGGAAAAGTTAGTAATTTTATAATTATTCATCTTCGGATGATTAAAATTTAAAAATATTTAATTTGTCATTTTGGTAAAACTTAACATTTTTTCAATTCATAAAAGAGTGTAAAAATTTTCAAAATTTAATTTTGATCATGTTCGATCGATCGGTCTAATATGAGATTGGCAAGTCAATGTTGGATCCGTGTTCTCTCTCAATTATCTACCGAGAATATTTTTAAAGGAAAGCGGATCATTGCGTGGGATATATGCATAGTGACAACTAAGATAAGAAAGGTTCAAAAGTGCATACATGTAGGCTTAGTCTAGTCTCCTATAAATACAGAGTTTAAATTTTTTGACCTTTCATAAATACTGAGGGCCTAATGCTTGATAGTATTGACATCTTTATAAAATTATTTTCATATTTCTTTCTTAGTTATTTGTCTTTATTGAGCTCTTTAGAATTAGGCCCATGAATTAGATCCATAACAATACGGGTATAAATAAGCTATGTTAGGCTAGATTTTGACCTAAATAGGCCAGACATGTGTAAAAATCCTTGGGACTGGCCTATCCTTTTAGCTTGTGTAGGCCCAAATTACACGTCTAGTCTGACCTGTATTTAAAAAATAAAAGCATTGACATATGCCTGTTAGCTTGTTAAGCCTATTAAACATTCAATAATTAAAAAAGAACTAAAATAATATTACTTTATTATTCAAAATATTAAGATAATAATTTTATTTAACTTATTTAATATAAATAATATGATACAGGCCGGCATGTAGGTTTATAGGCCCGACATGTACAAAAAAAAACTTATGGCCTGTTTTTTAAATAGGTTTTTTAAAAGCCTAGACCTGTTCTATTTGACTATTTGTAATAGGTCAAGTCTGGCCTAACATAAGCTAGGTCTAGGTCGGCTTAGCCCATTTACACCCCTACATAACAAATCCATAAGAAATTTTGATTTCATGATTATTTAATCGGATCGATTATTCTGTCTACTCTTATTTTGCCTACCTTTGCCCACATCTCTCGGCTTTTTGACCCTTTTACCCTTCATTAAATAATTAATAACCATTTTGCCCCTTACCCAGAACTGTCTACCAATCTGCCCCTCTTTAATCGATTAACTTAAAGATTTAATCGATCAAATGGTCAAAATAGGCAAAAATGGTTGACTCGAGATTTAATCGATTAAATCTTCAAGTTTAATCGATTAAATCTTCATATCAACTTGTCACAGAAACCAAACATTCCTTTTAGAATTCCAACAACAGATTTACAACAAAAACGCATGAGCATATTCCAAGAACTGGCCAGCCAATCAAAAAACCCGCCTAAAGGTTATATTAATGCGTGTAGTGTCTGCTTTTGCACGCTTGGGTAAACAAAAAAAAACAAGCTTTTCCTTCATCTGTATTTTTGTATTTTAAGATATAAGAATTGGATGATATTACATGGAGCATAGATTCTTAAGCTCTACTGAAAGCAAAAGACCATCGTTGTCACCAATGGATATGATGTGTTGGGTTTAGTATGCTCTTTTCACTTAAGCCCAATAGCTTTAGTGAGAGTGAGCCCAAAAGTCTAACTTTAGCCCATGAAGCTTAGGGTTAGTTTTGGATTGGACAAAGTATATAAACTCTCTTTTCTCTCTAGTGCCTCCTGTAAGAACCTGCACCGTTAATTAAGGAAGCTAATTAATTAATTATGAGAAATTAGGAAATAATTACATAATTGACTCTAATAATTATTATAAAGCTTAAATAATTATGGTAAGTGTTTTATAATTCTTAAAGTCGCTTTTCTGACGAAAAGTGCAGATACCAGTTCTGTTACTCGGTATAAATGCGTACCGATGAAGTATCCCAGAAAATTATGAAAAGTGTGTATATGTCACTAGAGTAATATATAGGACTTGTAAAACAAGTTTCAAGTTAAAATAATGAGAATTGGTGTCAGAACTGATATTGGCTATGGAAAACGCGTACCAGAAAGGTGCTGCGAAAAATAAAATAAAAATATGATAAATCTTAGAAAAATGAGTAGGTTCAGAATCCTAAGTTTGGGATTAAAATGCTAAGCGTAGCTATTAGTGCTGATACAGTGCGTTTAAAACTTAAGTGGCCTATATAAGGCCTTGGCACATGATCCTAGGGCAATCCCTTGTGCCTTATGCGTGAGTTTCTGACTTCTCCAGCAGCTGAGTGTCTCTCTTCTTGTCACCTTCCCTCACTCCCTTGAGCCAAAGGTGCCATTTTTACTCTTAGTTTCTCTACCAAAACACCATTGCCTCGTGTGAGTTGGTCTTGTGAGGTTGTGGGTGGCTTCTTTGCTGAGTTTGGGTTTCTGTTTTGTTGAGATTTGGGGCTGAGTTCATAAACTTGGTTGAGAGAGCCTTTGTCTTGCCTTGTTAATGCTCCAAGAAGCAACCTTTGTGAAGTTGAAGCTCATTTTTTGTGCACTTGGTAGTCAGCCCTTTGGGAGCTGCATAATGAGCTCCAATAGCCTTCCTTGTTCTATTTTGAGTGCCTTGGATAAGTTCATCAACTTTGATCATGAGTTTTAATGGGTAAAAGTGGAGTCTTTCCATGTTTAATGAGTTAAACAAGTAACCAACACGTATATGAACCTTTAGATGCTTGAAAATGGGTTCTTGGACGTTTAGAAGTGTTAAAAACACAAACTTTAATGGATATCTTCGCGAAATGCAGAATCTGCATTCTGTCGCGAAATATCCGGATATGATATCCGATATTGGTATCCGGATATGGGGTCTCGTGATATCCGAATATGGATATCCGGATATGATATATGGATATGCATATCCAGATATGTCCTCGACATATATCCGGATATTCTGGGTTTGCGTGAACAGTAACGGTACTGTTCATACAGAACTGAGTTATGGGTTTGTGGACCCTAGATTGTGGAAGTTGAACTTCTGTAATGGTTAAGTTAAGTCAGAATCAAGGGATTAAGGGCTTGTGGCTTTGTGAGAAGCCTTGAGACTTGAAACGCAAAGGAAAGACATTGTCTTTATACCGTATGCTTGTTGAGTATGAATATTGATATTATTGTTGGTCCAAACAGATTGTGATTGTGCTGTGTGTGGACTTTGAGCTAGTGTGGACTCTTGGCATTGGATAGTTAGCTTGCAAGGTAAGCTTTCGTGTCCTCGGTTTAGCCATTGTATATTCCACCATGTCCCATGGAGGGATGGTTTATATGCATGATGTGTTTTCATGTACTGTTTTATTGAAATGCTATGGAGCTGTTAAGTGCAAAATGCTTATGATTTATATGTGGTGTTTCGCCTAGCCAGGAGGCCATAGGGTGGTCCTGGAGGCGGGTACATCATGGGCGTGTACTGTGTGGGTAATAGATGTATTCCTGCACTTCTCTAATCAGTAGAATAGCTATAACACACATGACATGATTATCTGCTGCATTGCACTGATTTTAGAACTAATATTGAATTACTACTTTTGGAACTTATATTGCACATGTAAGTGAGCTTGGGGTGGAAGATCCTTGAGGACCCCTTGTCTTACTGAGATTTCTGTTTAAAGATCTCACCCCACGTTTGGGGCACATATTTCAGGTTCAGGTAATGTTGGGGTTGAGACCTCGATCTGCAAGAGGCTGGAGCTTAGCTGATTGTATACTATTATGATAATTTTGCTGGATGCTGACATTGTTTTATCTTTACTGTCATGTTATTTGATTTGAGACTGTTGTTGGGCGTTGTTGC